CCATGTTGCCATTGGTGACCATTGTTGACCATTGGTGGCCATTGGTGGCCATTGTTGACCGTTGTTGGCCATTGGTGGCCATTGTTGACCGTTGTTGGCCATTGGTGGCCATTGTTGACCACTTCTGGCCATTGTGTGCTGGTCACGTTCCTGCTGCGGCTCCCGGGTGTTTTTGGTGTCCAGGAGATTCTGTGGCTCAGCACGTAAGGAGAGCCCTGCTCACCTTATAAAAATTGCAGGATGATTGATTTCCTGAAAGCAAAGCTGCTGTGAAATATTGATCCTGGAATCCTCGGCTCCCAGAGCCACGGGTGGGATTGGGAGGGACAAACCCACCCCNATACTTGATTTTTATTTTTATTTTTATTTTTATTTTATTTCTATATTTTATTTTTATATTTTGATTTTATTAAAGTAACATATAATAAAATTGTTCATTTCTAACTTGCCTGTACACTGAATAAACGTATGGAATCATGTTTAGGAGCTCTCTACCTGTAGCTCATTATGAATTGTGATAATTATATTAATTATTTAGTATATTATATATATATTACTATATTATATATTCTATATTAATATATATATAATATATAATATTTTGATATTTTATTTTTATATTTTATTTATTTTAATATAAATAGTATTATGTATAAAATATATATTATCTATTAATATATTAATTATTTAGTATATTCTATATATAAAATATATTTATATATTAATATATATTAATTATTAGTTAATAATTAAGGGTGTCCCAGGGTTCCCCGTGGGAATCTCGGGGTGCAGGGCTCAGCATTCCCGGGAATCCAGCGCGGCTCCCGGGGCCAGGGCAGGGCACCGAGGGCTGCAGAGAAGGGCCTGGAGCAGCTCCAAACCCCCAGTGCTGCTTTGAAATCAGAACATGAGAAATGAGAACCTGCAGCCCCTGGGAGCAGAGCTCGGGATTCATCCCTGTTCCTCTGGCTCAGGTCCCTTCTGGCCAAAGCTCCTGTGTTCAGATGGAAACAAGAGAAGTCCTAAACCCCTGCAGCAGCTGCTTTCTGCTGGGGGAGCAGGAGCAGGAGCAGGAGCAGGGACAGGAACAGGAGAGGAACAGGAGAGGAGCAGGAGCAGGAGCAGGAGCAGGAGAGCAGGAGCAGGAGCAGGAGCAGGAGCAGGAGCAGGAGCAGGAGCAGGAGCAGGAGAGCAGGAGCAGGGAATCTCCTGGAGGATCCTGCTCAGAGGCTGGAGCAGAACACCAGCCCTGCCCAGGCACAGACGGATTTGGGATGATCCTGTCAGTGATCCCTACACAAACGAACGGGTTTGGTCCCACAGGAGCACGGTCATTCCCACCTCCTGATCCAATTAGCTCAGGCTCTGCTGCTCCCAGCTCTCCTCTGCTCCAGGTAATTGAAATCCCATCGGGGAAAGATTCATTAAGGTGTTTAATTGGGTTTAAGTGGCTCACCCTGCTCTGGCAGCTCAGGTGCAGTGGTGTATGAAGCTCTGCTCGGCCAGCAGCTTTGTCCCTGGCCCTCCTCAGCAAACCTGCTCCCCCAGCACGGCATCCTGGAGCCAGCCAGCTTCCAAAAGAGCTCTGAGACCATGGAGTCCACCTGGTCACCCAAACCCCAGGGGCAGCCCCTGGGAGAGCTCCCAGCCGCGTCCCTGAAGGGCAGCGGGTCACAGCAGCCTCCAGTGAGCCAATCTGCTGAAATTAAAATCTGAACTGCAAGTGGCTCTCTCCAGCCTTTTATCCTCTCCAATAATTTCTAGATGTGATTGCAGGGCCAAAGGGCAGTCCCAGCACACCCAAGTGAGGAGGAAAATTCCTGGCTATGTTAATTAACTCTGGTTTTCCCTCTTTGCTGAGTTCAGCGAGGTCACTCATGAGCAGCTCTTCTGGGCTTGCTCTGAGTTGCACCAAGCAGTGACCAAACAACCCGAGGTGAGAAAGGGGAAAGTTTTCCAAGGCCAAGGAGAATCCAGGCACTCAGAGCTCTCTGGAGGCACGTGGCTGTGCTGGGGCTGAAGGAGCCCTGTGAGCCTGATGATCCCTGACCTGCTCAAACAGCACGAGAAGGTGCAGAACCACACACGTGGTGTTTCCTTTTCTGCAAGAACTTCAGACCAAAGGCTGAGCAGCTGTAGCTGAGCAGGTGAGGGCTCCTGGGGTGAGCTCAGAACAGTTCCTGGCCATGTTCCTGAGCAGGTGAGGGCTCCTGGGGTGGGCTCAGAATAGCTCCTGGCCATGTTCCTGAGCAGGTGAGGCTCCCAGGATGAATTCAGAATGTTTGTTCAGAGCAGATCCCATTGCTGGCCAGGAGGATTGTGTTTGGTTTCCAGAGCTGGGGCTCTGGCTGGGAGCTGTCCCCACCCCAGGGAGCAGGCAGGGGACAGGAGCCCGGTCCCCAGCGCGGCGCAGCCCTGGAGCCCGCGCTGCCGTGGCATTGCCATGGCAATCAGCACCACACGGGCACTAAAAATAAACCCCAGCTCTGCAGAGCAGAGATCAGCCCCAATCACCTCCGAGCTGGGGGTGTGTGCTGCTGGCTCCCCTGCACAGCCCAGGCTGCCTGCTGACACCCCTGGCACAGCTTTGTCTCCAGCCCTGCCACTGCCAGCGCCCAGGAGCAGCTGGGCAGCGCCCCAGTGCCCACCCAGAAACCTCCTCTTTTCCTCTGGAACCCCCCAAACCCGACCCATTCCTCCTGCTCTCCCATTTCCCCCCTCCACACCACGAAACCCCCACGGCCAGGTCAGCTCCAGCCCTGGAAGGAGAAGCTGAGCCCTTGGCAGTGACTTCTCCCAGGTCACCTGCCCAAACTGTCCAAAATTACAGCAAGAGCAGCGCTGGAAGCATTTCCAGGGGATAAAAGCTGCTCCAGAACTTCATTCCTGGGCAGAAACCCCACATGAGCCAGGACCCTGTGAGGAGCAGACACCCTTCTCCTTAATTAACTCACAATTCCAATTTGGCTCTCCCCAAAGCTTAATTTATCCCACAAAGGGTTTTTTTCATCCTAAATAACATTAAATGGAAGAAATCCTGCAAGCAGCTTTATATTGATCTCTGTATCCCAAACCAAGAGAAATATCCCAATTATAAAGAGGCTCTTGAACAAACATTTAAATCAATTACATCCATAAAAACAGCCTGTTCAACCCAAAACACACTCCCTTTCATAATAGAGCTTTTACACACTAGCCCTTAAAAATAATAAAAAACCAGTCACATCAAGGTTCAAACATAATATTTTTATTTGTGGATAAAAATTAAGGCTCACAGTACTTTATCATTTCACAAGCAGAAAAATGTTAAAAATTGAGACTGATGGGGAGTGCCCCCGATACAAATTCCTCTAATTGCTGACATGTTTTACTGAAGACTCCAGGTGAACAATGGGGCAGCTACAGGTATTAGTTTGTAAACTAGGTGCTAAATAGAACTGTTTTTTTAAGAAATGCTAGGATGTTTCTCTCCACTCTGGTGTCCACTACACAGGGATTCCACAGAAACACCAGAACTGCTGGGATGAGCACAGCAACCTTCCCAAGAACAGCCCAGCAGGGTTACAGCACACAGGGGCTCAGGGGCACAGACTCCACTCCAGTAAGACATTTTGATTCATAGTGCAATAGTTTATGCCTAAAATGTTCAATATTCAACCTCCCTGACCTAACCAAGAGCACGGAGGCGCTGCCCAGCTCCAGGAGGGAACAGCCCAGGGGCTCAAGGATGGTGACAGAGCTCAGCAGACACCGTGCCCAGAGCCAGCATGCAGCTCCAAGGAGGAATTTCACAGGGAATAAAAGGTTCCTGCCCAGGAGGGCTGCAGGGGGTGTCCCAGGGGCAGCAGGTCCCCTGCAGCCCCCCAGCCCTCCCTGGGAACACGTTTTACCCCGGCCAGGTCACAGCCACAGCACAAACTGCAGCTGCAGCTGCGCAGGGACAGCCTGGGCAGAACCCAGCAGGGGCTGGGCTGCAGAGCTCTCTGGATTATTTGCATTATTTTTAGTGATTCCTTCAGCTTTGCTTGTTTGCTGTCAAGGCAACACAGCCGTGGCAGCCACGGGGACGAGCCTGTTGCTGTGAGAACTGGGGGGGTTCTGCCTCTCTCCAGAGACTCAGCCCTGCTGAGGGAGACACCACCAGAAACGACAGCACCTGCCCTCAGCCCTTCTGACCCAACCCAAATGCACTGGAACTTCACTGGGGAGCTCTCCTGGAGGGCAGCCTCCACCTGCCAGGACAGGTGAGAGCAAACAGCCCTGAGCAGGGTTTCACCGAGCACACATCCCCACCCTGCAGCAGGGAATTGATAATCGCTGACATCACTGGAGCTCCAACAGGCTGTGACAGCTGTGGGTGCAAATCACCACCCCCTTCTGAAAAGGTGACTGAGTTATGGATTCAGCTCCACTTGCCTGAGCTGCAAAGGCCTCCTGGGGCAGGGCTGGAGGGGAGGCAGAGCCCCCCAGCCCCAATTCCTGCCCTCCTGCACCCCCGTGTCCCCAGCAGCCCCGGCTGGGACATGCCACCTCCTCCCCCTCGTGCAAAACAGCCCTCAGTGACACAGACAAAAAATCACATTTACACCAGTTGGCCATTTCCTAGGAGCAGAAATTTCCAAACCCCATTTCCATAACGTGTAGGCAGGGAATGCAAGAACAGGAAAATGCGTGCGACCGAAAATATAGAACAAACACTTTCAATATTATTCCAGTTCACAGATGCAGGCAAGGGCAGAGAGGAGCTACAGCCATGAAATACACTCCATGTTCCTGAACAGTTTAAACCAAGTGTTTTACCCCATAACAGTACAGTGATCTCGCAGCTGAACAAAACACAACTGCTAGAACTGAAGGAGCAGGATAAGAGGGGTGAGCCTGGATGCACATTCCAGGTGCCCCAGCTGGGTACCAGCAGGTGTCCAGCAACCTGCTCAGGTCAGAATCCAGCTGTTCCTGTCATGGGACAGGATTCTCAGGGGGATGGAAATGGCTTTGCCTCAAACCATCAGAAAGCTCCTGCCCAGTAAGCACTCAGATTATTTATTGCTTCACTACCAACAGCAGAACACGGGTGACAGGAGGGGCTGTGAGGATGGGGAGCTCACCCCGCCCCAGGACCCCACACTAACACCCAGAATGATCTCACAGACCCAGCTAAGCACAACACACCCCAAAAAACCCCTGTCAGAGCGAAGGTGTGGAAAATAAACTGTCTCCAAGGCCGGGGCAGCGCTGGGGACACGCAGGAGGCAGAGCCAGGAGCAGCCTCATGCCAGGTTTGTCCTTCTGCCATCCCGGAGCACCCCGGGGCTGGAGCTGCACCCAGCAGGGACAGACACACGGACAGGGCAGCCCAGCACTGCTCAGCCCCACTGCCAGGCAGCCCAGGACAAGGGGACAGAACATACACAGCCACTCCACAGTACCCACTACTCCATTTGGCAAAATATTTATTTATAATAAATCCGTCCCAAAGCGGTTGGTCACAAAGAATTAACTCCTCTTACATGTTTGGGCCGTAACAATGCTTTTGGTAAGAAGTAAATAAACTGTCTCTTTTTACACAGTGTACAAAAACAAAGAGACACCGAAATGACAGGTAACAGAACACGGGGAACACGGGGGGACTGGAAAGACAAAGGCAAAGCAGAGGGGCCTGGCCCGGCAGCGCTGCCACCGTCATTTACCCGTACAATCCTCAGCCCCACGCCGCTCTCATCCCCAGCACAGCTCTCAGCTGCAGGATTCTGCTCCAGGAGAGGAATCTGATGCGATGTAGCAGCTCCAGTCACTCTTTCACAGTACTGCATGTCAACACTGGGAATGGTTTCTGATATGGTTTAGACTGCACACAGTACTTGGATAGGGAAAAGTTAATTACTCCCACTCCGTAGTTCCCGGTGGCTTTGATGTCAAGTCGTACATCACCCGAGAGATGCCAGGGATCTTCTTGATCTCTGCCACCATTTTCAACACAACCTGTGGTGGAGGGGAAGCACAATATCAGAAAAAAAGGTGTGTGCAACAGACCTGATGGACATCACCCTGGAAAAGCTTGAGGGCAAACTGCTCACACCAGTTGTGCTGGACACCAGAGAGGAGCCTGCTGCTACCAGGCACAAAGTAAAATCAGCTGGAACAAAACTCTGGTTTCCATCATCTTCCAGAGCTCACAATTAATCCATGTTAGCAGGAATATTCCAGGGGAGAAGCAGTTCAGCTTCCTTAAAAATCCCTGAGTTCCCAACATCACTTACATGACACGCTGTTCATAGAGAAAGCACAAATTAACAGCGCATTGCTCTGTACAGAAGAACATGGTTATTTCCCCCATAAATATGACTAGTCTCTATAACCTCTACTATTTAGCTGCCACACTACTACTGAGCCGTAAAATGACCATTTTAATTCTGCAGAATGCAGGGTTTTTGTTTGGGGGTGGGTTTTGTGGTGTTTGGTTGTTTTTAAACACAAACACTGAGGTCAAATGAATCCTCTTTTTATACAGCGGGATAGTTCACATGGCAACCTGAATTGTTTTTCTCATGCACAGGCTGCCTTGAAGTAGAGGACTTCAATATATAATTATACACAGTTACTAAAGAATGCTCATATGCTCCTGAAGTGTGTTTAAAATAAAAGGTCAATCCTATTCCTACAGTGCATTCCCAGAGGGACAAAGTACTTGACTGGACATAGATAAAGTTTCCCATTAAAAAAAAATAAATTAAGAAGCTTGACCCTGACTCCCGAGTCCTTTCAGTGACCTAAAGAGCAAACAGGGCACTGAGATGTTAAACTGCAAGTTCCAGCAAAAACACAAGTGCCAGACAAAGGCAATTCCTAATGCCAAGAAATTTCCAATTACCGATGCAAAAATTAATTCCAAATCCCAGGGAGGGCTGGGGTATTCTTTCCTCTTTAATTGGTGCTGTTTTGGCTCAGCTCTGCTGGAAAGCCTTCAAGCTTGTCACACCCATCTGCCAGCCCCTCCTTTTGTCAGGGTTTTTTTTCCCCCCCCCAAAACGCCACAAATATTCTTTCTAATGATTATTTATAACAGAGGAAAAAAAAAAACATAGCAAGAAAATCAAAAGGAAGGCCAGGAGGGTGAGAGGGAAGCTGGAGTGAGCAGAGGCTGGGTGGAACAGGCTGGGTGCAGCCCCTCACCTCCTCGGGCACCTCGCTGCCCGGCGTGGCGGCGATGCCCGTCATGAAGTCGCTGGTGATGAAGGGCCTGATGACCACGGACCTCTGGCACGAGGGCTGCTTCTGCAGGGGGTCCCGGTCAAAATGCAGCGGGGTCAGGATTATTGGCATCTGGCTGATCTTCCCAGCGTAGCCTGCAGCACACAGGGGCACACAGGGCGTCAGCTGGGCTCACAGACGAGGCTGAGGATCCCACCCGTGCTTCCAGCTCTGGAGCTGCTCCTGCATCCCATGGGATCTGCTCCCTCTGCTCCCAGCAGTGCTGCAGCTCTGCAGGGAGGGCACTGGACACAGGTTCCCAGAGCAGCTGTGGCTGCCCCAGCCCTGGAAGGGTCCAAGGCCAGGCTGGATGGGGCTTGGAGCAGCCTGGGATGAGTGGAAGGCATCCCCAGGGCGTGGAATAGATGATCCCTAATGTCCCTTTTGACCCAAACCATTCTGAGATTCTGTAAATTGCCACTTGAGATGATCCTCAGAGTTTACAGGCACGCAGGAAATCCCAGCTAATCTGTGTTATCCCTGTAATTCACTGTGAGTCGACTGGAGAGCCACTTTCCTCCCCACACAACGTAAAACCATGGGGTTTTATCAGTCCCAAATCGAGCCAAATGAAGAGATGCTCCCAGATAAATCTCTGAAATGTTCTTTGAACAGCCTTTGAAACACCCAGGAGAAAGCTCTCCAGTAGCCCTGGCTGGTGGTGGGCAGGTAACTCCAGACAATCACATTTCACTGATTTTTCAACATCTCCTCCTGAAAGGCAATGCACAGCTCCCCAATTTCCCTGCTGCAACGAGCTCAAGCTCCAAAACCCAGGTGTGTGGAGCTCACCCTGCTCAGGCTCTCTGCCTCTGCCAGCCCTGGCCTGAGCTGCTGCACAGGGAGGGTTTTTCACTAAACCACAACTCCAGGCTTATTTTTAGGAGCAATTCATTCACACAAAGCCAAGTGTCACCAAAAGTTAGCGAGGCACAGCTACAGCTTTACCAACACAGCTGACAGTGTTATCTCAGCCTTTTGAGGTTAATTCTGTACAAATTCTGTTCACACAGCTCTGCAAACTGAATATGGATCCTCAGAGAGAGGGATCTGCTGTAATTTGATTTATGTGAAATGCAGGCAGGGCTGATGCAGTGCTTCCCACACAGATCACATCTCCAAAGGTAATTCAGTAAAGAACCAAAGAGGCTGAACCCCAGAACTATTTAGCCCAGGCTCTGCCCGTGTGGCCCACCCAGGGGACTCCACACTCCCTGGCTCTGCAGGGCTGGGGCTGCAGCTTTGACCTGGAGTTAGGAAATCTGAAACCACCCCAGGCTGTGAGCATCACCCCCAGGAGAAACTTGGCACCTGGGCTTTCCCCAAAACCAACAGTGTTTAAAAACTCTGTCAAGTTTCTTCACCTCAGATAAACACTGAGATCAGCAAAGAGAAGGGATTTGGGTGACTGAGGGGCCTGACAGGACTTTTTGCACAGGTCTGCAGTGCAGCACCACAGCTTTGAGCTTCATGACGTGTTGGAAGCAAGTCAGTCCCCAAAATCCCCTCAAATTAATTCCTGCCCTTTAGCTATCAGCTTCCACAACTTTACACTGGCACCCCAGTAGCTGAGCCCTTTTTTGGAGCTGTTTGCTTGCAGATTTTGACAGCACCGCTCTGATGACACCCATTGGGCTTGCAGGGATCTGCAAACACGAGTGTGACCCCTGGGATGAGGTGGGGCACCTACCAGACTCCCTGAGAATGGTGTGAGCCTCAAAGTCCGCCTGACGTAAAGTGCTGAGGACTCCCGTGGTCAGGAAGGTGGGGGTGACATCCGTGGGGGGCTCCTTGACAGGGGGGCCAAACACGTACACCACTCTGCAACACACACACAACAAACCAGAGTGCCTCAAACCCCCCTGCTCAGGGCCACAGGGAGAACACTGAGCTGGAAAACTGCACCATGGTTTATTCTGCTTACAATTTTTAACAGGACATCACCAACCCCCCCATTAAATGCTACACCTTATCTTTAACAAAGGGTTTTCAGCACAGGGCACTAATTGCAATTTATAAACCTGCAGAAGTACATCTGCAACAAAACATCTTGTGAATTCAAAGCAGCCAACATCAGCTTTATGTTTCTGCTCTCACTCCTTCCTTTCAGAGGCTGCAGAACAAGAAGCACAGTCGGAGTGGCCTCGTGCATGGATTTACCACGAGGTGCTCACAGCAGCTGTGTGAGTCTGACATGAACCAGGAGTCTAAAACCCAAACCACACACATCTGCCAGTTTATTCTGCAGGTTTTTGTTTGGAGTACAAAGCCTGGGAGCACAGCTGGGCAGGAGACCAACTATGCCAGCACTCTCCTAAGGTCCCTGGAACAGCAGAGCTCCCAGAGCTGAGGGATGCTCAGGAGGGCAGCCTCAAACCCAGCAGAGCTTAAAGAAATCAGCACTGCTCTCACACCAGAAACTGGCTTTTATTTTCATTTTGTGACACACTCTGGAACTGCACAGGCAATCCTGATTTATGTCTCCTTTTGTCCCCTCTGCACTTAATTTGAACAGGTATCTTGCAATTCCAGGTCTCACCTTTCAGAGTAAAAGCTCTGTCAGTGTCACCTCTGTGAGAAAATTAAGTTTTGCTATAAGCAGTTTTGGCAGAAATCCCACAGCCAGGCAAGGAGGGTATAATTCTCCAGAGCTGATTTCATGTCTAAGCACCTTCAGCTGCTGGAAAAGTTATGGACTCGAGTAGGTAGAAAATGTATCCTCAGAGAGCTCAATTAAGATCAAACTGCCCAGCTCTGGAGCTCTCCCTGTGCCATCAGAACTGACAGCCCCACACAAATCCCTTCCTGACACAAAGGCAGACCAAACTGCAGCACATCACAGCTCAGCACCAGGCTGGAGCCTTGCAGAGGAGATTTGCATAAATTATAGTGGATGCTGCCTAATCCACAGATATAGGCCAGCAATTTCTTTTCAAGCTGGAAATCAATCCATATTTGGATTTATTGTGTATTTGTGACCTCTGCATGATACACCTGTCCAATGACTCCCAGTGTGGAGCATCTTTACTGGAGATGCCACAGACGTAGCTGTACGAGCGACAGTCACCCTGGGGAACAGCAAAACACCAACAACCCCACTGAATGTGAGCTGTGCTGCCACAGCCACCCACAGCTCTTCCCTGGCCATCCTGCAGGTGACAGAAACACAGTCTGGGCCAGCATCCAGCAGACACCGAGCTGGTGACACCAGGGAGAGACTGGAGAGGTGAGAAAATACGGAGCAGGAAATATTCAGACTGGGAAGACCCATCTAGAGTGGCCAGTGTTGGCATTTTGGTGACAAAGCACAGAAATTTGATGACTCTGCAGCCTGAAACAGTAACCAAAGCTGACTGCAAAGAGCCACACGCAGCATTAGGCAGCTGGAAATAAAATACCAGGAGGAATTCAACACTGAGAGTGCAGAGAAAGGTGCTTTACAGCCAGGACTGCTCAGCAAGGAAACCTCCTGAGTTCCTGCTCACAGTTCCCTCAGAGCCAGCTCTGCCCCTGGTCTGTGTCTGTGCCCACAGGAGGGAGGGGAAGCTCAGCTCAGCTGCTGCACACATCCAGCTCTCCTTCCCACGGGCAGGGAGCAGCACAGATCACTGAAGGGCTGGAAAGGGCAACAACCACGGCCAAAATGGGATTTCCACCCCGTGCAGCCTGGGTGGGGCCAGCAGGGTGAGAGCAGAGCTCAGGGGCTGCAGCAGCTGCTGCTGAGTGACCAGCACCCCTGGGCTGGCCAGTGTCCCCTGGCACTGAGCTCAGGGACCCCAGCACCCACCCAGGGCACCCCCAGCTCCCCCCTGAGCCCAGCTCCGTGCCCACCCCCTGGAGCAGCAGAGATCTTCCTGCCCCTCACACACAGCCCTGCAGGGAGCCTGTACCTGCACTCCCACAGTCTTGATTGGGAGCAAGAAGGCATTCAGTGAATGTAGGCTTGTGATCTGCATCAGCTTCTCCTGGTCCTCCTCACTCGTGCACGCCTTCACCCTCTGCAGCAACGTGTGAGGCTGGGCAAGGATGCAGAACAATAAATTGGAATTAAATAAAGCTCCCAGGCCCTCAAACAGAACTTGCACAGTGTAAATGAAATTGTTATTTAAGTAGCTGTTTGCTTAGTCTACGTTTACCCCTTGGAACTATTTAAAAGATACCTCTCATCTGCCAATTAAACATTAGCAACAGCACTTTCCTGTGATTACACTGCATTTTAAGCTGGAGCCCTCCAAGGCCATAGGGGAAGTTCTTTTCCTGTGCTCATTTTCTCCTTCACAAAGCTGCACTTTTCAGTTTTATGGCACCACAATTCTGGATCTTTTAAAGCAAAGGCAGAGAGAAATCCCTGCCCTTCAGGAGTTACCAAAAGGGTTCTGGAAGTTGTTTTGAACCCACACCTCAGAGCAGACCCCTGTAATGACTGACAGCCACCACAAAGGCCAGCTTTGGATCAGGGCACCTGGCCAGCTCCTGCACCTGCATTTACACACCCAGAGGTTTCTGGGGTGTGCAAACATAGAATGTTACACCTCTTTCAGGGAGGGAAGATCTTTTCCTGACACTAAGTGATCTCATCTGCACAAAGTTTAACTACAACAGAATCTGTTTTATTTGAAAGGTAAATAAAGTTCCATTTTCCAGAAACGGTTCAACACTTGCACCAGTCAGAGCACTAAAAAATTCCACTGGACAGCTTCAATTGAGCAGCATTCCTTAAGCAGCACAAACTTAGTCCTTTTAACCTTCCAGCAGACTAAACCTCACCGTGGGTCACTACAGAACCATCACTCAGAATGAAAATTTAGAATTCCCTTACCTTCTTCACACTCGCAGAAAAATCTGCCACGATTTTCAGGATGTTGTTTGTCTCTGGGAAGTCTTTGCACACATAAGGCTCCTCAGCACAGATCACTCTGATTGCTAGCCCAGGACCTGCAAAGCAAGGTGGAAAAGAATATTACACCAAATAACAGGGAGCTGTTTTCACCTTCAAGTGGGGCACAGGGAATCAGTCACTGAGTACTGTGCATTCTGCCACTGAATCTAAGACATGAAGAAACCAACCCACAGCCATCAATTTTGCTGTTTTCTAGTGGAGAACTCGTGTTAGAAATGTTGAGCATTCACTTTCAAGACAGCAAATGCCCCCTGGAAAGGCAGAGCCAGGCCACTATTCCAGGTCAGAGCCACGGGGCAGCTCAGGCAGAGCTCACTGAGAGCTCCTCCTTTCTCCCATCAAAGCCAAACAGGCTCAATTATAAAACATTATGTATATTTATCAAGCTGCTCTCAAGTCAGCTTTTCCTGAAAGATTGTGCTCAAGTGAAAACCCAAATGGATTTTTTCTGTGTTTAAAGATCAGTTTTATACCCCAGTTATTCTGGATCTGCTGAGGAACAGTGCTGTGACCCAGCAGCTCCATACCTGGGAAGGGATGCCTGGAAACCAGCTCTTCAGGAAGACCAAGCTCCCTTCCCAGCACTCGCACTTCATCCTTGTGAAAATCTTTCAGTGGTTCTATTACTTTACCCTAAAAGAGAAAAAGAAGGCAATTTACACTCTGGTTCACATATCCAAACAAAAAGCCTCAAATGTTTAGGTTCTGGCACCCAAAGTGGCCTGACCTCACAGCACCAGTGAGGTGTGTGAATGATTCCATAAACACTGGAAAGCAATTCCATGTGAATGTGGGCTTTGTAGAACAGCTGCAGGATGAGCTGGGTGAGAGCAGGAAGAAGAGTTTGTGCCAGAAGAATCTGTGGCTCTGGCAGAGCAGGAAGGCCAAGCTGCCTGTGCCTGCATGGGTTCAGAGCTCTCTTGTCTCTGCTGGAAGCTCAAACCAACCCCAAAGCCTTTGTGCAGGGATCAGTGATGGAAATGGGGATCATCAGCTCTCTGCTGTGGTGGGAGCTGGAACCTGAGCACCTCACCACATTGCTGGGTGATCCCTGCCCTGTGCTGGCTCTTTCTCAGAACACAACACAGCCAGAGATCTCACCATTCCAGTGCCAGAAAACCAAACCAGGCACTCCCCACCTTTGCTTCACATGCTAATTAAAAAAGAGCTGTGCACAGAAAGGTGCTTAAAAAGCTTTTCTGGACTTCAGATAAACAGACCCTTGGTAGAAAGAAATACAATAAATTACAAGTTACAACAGACTCCCGGGGGCCCTGTCACAGCAGGGCCCCGTCAGTGACAGTCACACCAGCAAAAGAGAGTTTTAGATTCTGGATCCAGTTAGTGGCAGGGGCAGCCAGCAGCCTTCACCTCCTCGCGCAGCTTGCGGATCAGCTCGGTGTCGTTGTGGTGGGTTTTGATCACCTCAGCCTTGCCACTGGCCACCAGAGAGGCACTCTCGATGAGGTCAGGCCTGAGGGTGCCCTGGGCAAGAAAAACCTCCTCGGGTTTCAGGTTCATCTCCCCGATGACCTCGTTGGCAATCTGCAGGGGGGCAGAGAAAGGAAGAGCTGTGGCACTCCTGGGGCTGCTGACAATGAACTGTCTGACCTGTGGCAGGGAGCTGTAAAAGCACAAACAACCAGCAAATTCTACCCTAAAAACCAATGATGCCACCGTCCCACTGCTGAAACACTCCTGTAACCCCATCTTTTTTAAACAGAAAATGGAAAAAGTATCTCCAGAGTCCTGGAGCATCAGCACCTGTTAAATATTCTCCCTGTCACCAAAGGCTTCTGGGGCCACCCACAGCTCACACAAGCACCAATGCCAATGATTAAACAGTAAAAGATAAAAGGAATCACAATATTAAAAAAATTCAACCAAATAACAAATAAACATTACCTTAACAAAGGTGTCACCGATAATTTTCCTCTTTTCTTCAGGACTCGTGGTCATATTTAAGGTCTTGCTAATTCTTTTACGTGGGGTTCTGTCCTCATCTGAGATGGGCAGAGTTGTTGTGCCATTATAGAATGAATGGGCTGCATTCACCACTGCAGGAAATCACAGGGATTTTTATTTCTATTTTTTTTTACAAAATCAATAAAGATTGTCATGCTGGTTACAAAATAGAAGTTTCACTTTACTGCTTTAAAAAAAAAAAACAAACCAAAACTAATTTCATTTGACTATTAACTGCATGGAATAGGGCTGCTCAACACCTCAAAAATTAATTTTAACAAGAGCCTTTTATTTTTCTTATTAACCTATTACTTTTTCCATATTGTGAGATTAGGCAGCCACATGCCTAATGTGGAACTTCTTGCTTCCCTCTTAGATTATAATTTACTTGCTTTAAATAGCTTACAGGACAGTATTTCCCCAAGGCCTTTCTGCAACCAAAATTAAATGATGCACTGTTTACTGGTGCTGTATTATGCCTCTTAATTTAGAGAGGCTCCCAACCCAGAGATCAGCTGGGAGGCTCTGGCATCTTCCACCAGCACTCAACTCCATGACCTACAGAAGGAGCACTTGCAGCACAGGGATTCCCTCAATTTGCTCCTCTGGCTGCCTGCCAGAGCCCAGATTTATTGCTCCACAGAGTGCAAGAATAAGATGTGGATTTTCCACTTTAAAAATAAATAAATATATTTAGAAGAATGCGTTTTGTCTGAAGCTGGGGATGCTGCAGCCCAGCCTGTGCTGTGGCAGTGGGAAGCACTGCTCAGCCAGGGCCACAGTGCCCCAGCAGAGCACAGGAGCAGCTCTGGGCAGGGCACAGAGCCCCAGAACAGGCACTGCCCACTAATTCAGCCCCCAGGCCACACAGCAGCTCCTGCTGCTGCCACCAACTTGGTCTTCTCTGACCTCCTCAGACTCCAGGTACAAAAAACCTCTGAGCCTTCTCATCTGGGCACTCTCTGCTCTCTCAGTTAACTCCTTCACAGAATCATAAAGGTTGGAAAAGACCTCCCAGATCACTGAGTCCAAACTTTGACAAATCAACACCTTCTTGTCAAAAAGTCACTCCAAAACCATTAAAATGCACCTCTTTCAAAGCAAGCAAAAATGCCTTGAAAATAATTTTGGCTGTGGTAGCATTCAATCACCCAAATGAGCTCACAGTTGACAAAGAAAGAGACTCAGGATAAGAAATGAAGCCCAAAGTGTCAATTAAGATAGTGGAGAAAATGGAAATTCAGTGAGTTCTGCAGCAGATGAACAGGATCCCTCGGCAGAAAAGTGACCAGGACACAAATCCACTGCTCTGCTGTGCCCCACCTGCAGAACACCAACATCTAAAGACATGGGGCAGTTCACTGTATACTCCAACAAGCAAACAAGGCCTAACATTTCAGGTTTAAATGTTGTGAGCAGGTCCAGGTGGTTCCACATCGCTGACCCGGCCTCGGTCCGAGCAGCTGGGAACAGCAGCTCGATGAAACCCAACCCTAAGGGCAGATTTTGGGAAGAGCAGCACAACTCTGCAGTGCTGCAAGGAATATGAGCAGAAAGGTGGTACCTTTGACTTGGATGCCCAGCTTTTTGAGGGCCTCCTCCACGGCCTGGCTCTCCCTCTTGCGCATGAAGCCGTTGTCGATGTGCACGGCGATGACCTGCTCGCGGTTCAGGGCGCGGTTCAGCAGCGCCGTGCACACCGTGGAGTCCACGCCCCCGCTGAGCAGCACCTGCCAGGAGGGGGAAAAGCCCCACACGGGGTCAGCTGTGCCTGGGGAAGGTGTTCACAGCCAGCAGCTGCAGGGGGAGAGCGGGATGCTGACCTGCAGCCAGCCAGCAGCGCGCTGCCCCGGCCGTGCCGCGTCCCCGGAGCCTGGGACGATTCCCCACGCCCCAAATCGACCCCAGCCACTGCCCAGTGCTCCTGCTAGTCCAGCTCTGGCTCAACTCACCAGCACCTTTGAGGAGCCCACTTTCTCTTTGATGTCCTGGATGCACTGGAGCTCTCTGTTCTCCACGGTGAAGGTGCCGCTGCAGCCCGCGATGTCGTACAGGAAATTCTTCAGGATCATTTTCCCGTTCACTGTCAGGCTCACCTCAGGGTGGAACTGTGCTCCATAGAGCTTTTTGGACTCATTTGCTATGCCTGGTATACACAACAGAACAAAAATAAATAAGTGAGCTGGATGTGAATGCAGACCCAAGTTAAGCAAGAGGCTCAAGGCGGCTCTTTGGGATTTGGTAACTCCAGTGGCTCTCAAACCCCAAATTCTAAGGTCCCACCATTTCCTGTGTCCATCTCTGTGTGATGGTAAAGCCCTGCTGTTCAGTACCTACATTATTCTTACTCAGTTGAACATTCATGCAATATTAAATACAATAACAAGTTAATAAAGCTTTAATAATTAAACAGTGCTTGACTTGTACTGTTACAGTACCCAAACCCCATTGGCACTGCACACCACAGTGCCTCCCCTGCCTTAAGGGCACAGGGATTTATTTCTTTATCTTTTATCTTTATTATTTTTTATCTTATAGCTTTATCTTTATTTATATTTATTTCTAAGACAAGCAACACATGCATGCTTTAAAATAATATAAACTATATAAATAATGGTAACTTCAACCACATTTACATCAGGACCATTCCTTTTAATGTCTGTTTCTTTATTACCCTAACAGCTTGACATACAAATGCACACTAGAAATTGTTAAAAACAATTCATTTATTTGGCCATTAAATAACAAGAGCTATTACTCTGTTCCCATTTGGTTCTAGCTCCTGTCTGCCATAACTCTTTACTTTACCCAACATTATCAGAAGACAAATTCAGGGTAACATAAATACCTGCTATGATGTTCCCAGACTGTGCCACCACTTTGAATCCATCAGCAACTTTATCAACACTATCTCCATGAGTGAGGAGCACAAGCTCTTCCTTCTGAAGGCCCCTAAATGAAGATTAAAAAACTAGAATCAATTCAAGAAAGGACAAAGACCTTTTACCTTTAACCTTTCAATTCCCCGCCTTTCCAAGAGATGCCTTGAGGGATTCCAGCAAAAGCACATCTCGACAGACCAGGACATTTGAAATGTCTGCAGGATTTCCCTCCCAGGAAGGGCCATCTGCAGCTCTGAGATGCCTCTGTCCAACACAGCCCTCCTGCAAGAGGGAGCTTATCTTAATTCTGAAGGGTTTGTGGGTCTCTCCTCACAAACACCCCAGGACTGAAGTCCCCTCTTGGACACAGGGAGCCATCTGGAGTCCATCAGGACACTGGCAGTCTTTTTATTTCAACAGAATGAACTTTTCTTGTTCAAAACTATTGTTTTCAGGACAATTTGGACAGAAGAAAGATAATAAAACTGGAACACAGAGATGAGGAAATGGTCAGGCTTTTTACAAGGAACTTGAAAGCCATCAATAAAATTATCAAGAAACCTAATCCTGGTTTATAAAACATCATAAACCAGTTTTAAAGGAAGGTAGAAGAGGAATGGGTTTAGATTTTCTGTGCCCTTTCCAAACTGGACAGGCACCAACAAATACAAGAGCAGTGCACTGCAGGAGACAAGAGCTTAACTCAAATATTCTCAGGTCATGGTGCACTCAGTGTCTCAATGAAGACTCTGAAATAAGGGGTTTATACAACATTCCCAGCAAATACACCTGCTTTACAAAGCTAATTTGAAAGCCAGCCCTAAGTATTTGTTTCAATGAGCAACCTGTTTATTTGTGACCACACTTGTAAAAGTTTTATTATAAACTGTCAGCTGATTTCACTATTTTTTAAAAAAATAACCTTCCCCTCATGTGACAGCCTTTCCCAGCCTGATACTGCTTTGGCAAGTGGGAATGTGTGTGCACCTGAAGAGTGAGCAGGTGTTGTCCAGGGTAATGCTGAACACTCCATCCTCCCGAACGCTCTTCTTGTGCACCGTCCCTCCAAACACCTTGTTCATCATCTGCAGGGCAAAAGAGAGACAGCACCTCACAGCCTGCACCCCTCACCACATTCCTGCTGTGTGCCAGAGCTGCAAGAATTCCCTGCAGGATTAATCCTCGCTCCCCTCTGCCAGCCACTGCCACACTCAGGGAGCAGAACCCCCCCAGGCAGAGATTTGCAAAATAAAGTCTGTTCCACAGCTCCTTCCCTCAGAAATGGCTGCTCTGCAAACTGAGTATCCAAGGCCACAGCAAAAACCTGAATTTATTCCCTTAGTTTGGTTTTGTGACTAAGGCTGGGAAAAACAAGGTGCATGAGCAGAAGCCAAGCAGCCCTTGTCTCCCTGGAAGTTTGTTCAGCTCAGCTGGGATCTACCAGACCCCCACAGGATCACCAGCGAGTCCAAAGGGAAGGAAAGGTTATTTCTTTTTCTGTGAGGGAGTGTTAAGCACTCCTAAGAACTACACTAGAAACAGCCCAAGCCTGGGACACTGCTCCACTTGTTTCCAGGAGAGGTGCCCTTTTCAGTACCAGCTGGGCAGAATTAATGAGTGACTGACAGGTTGTATTTACTCTGACAAAAACAGGGAGTGTGGAGCTCCATTCACAGCACTGCAGCAAAGAAAAACCATTTATGCAACAGATCCCAGACTGGTTTGGGTTGGAAAGACCTTAAAGCTCTTCCCATCTCACCCCTCCCAGGAGCAGGGACACCTCCCACTATCCCAGGTAGATCCAAGTTCCAGTGTCCAGCCTGGCCCTGGGCACTGCCAGGGATCCAGGGGCAGCCACAGCTGCTCTGGGCACTTGTGCCAGGGCCTGCCCACCCTGCCAGGGAAGAACATCTCCCTAATCTCCAACCCAAACCTGCTCTCCTTCATTTTAAGGCCACTGCAGGAGGAGGCAGAGCCGGGAGAGGAGCACAGCAAGCTCAGTCCATCAGCTGCGTGCTCCCGTGGCACTGCCCGTGTTTGGAACGCAGCTCCAGCACGGCCCCTGCAGCTCAGGCAGAAACAGCGCCTGGAAGGTGGCTGTGGACAAGCAGATGGAATGGCTGGACTGGCTCCTGGAGATGTTTCCCAAGCCCAGGGACTCTGTGCTAGCTCCCAACAGCACCTGCATCCCATAGCAGATCCCAAGCACGGGTTTTCCTATTGTGAATATGGCTGGGTCGAACCACGGAGCATCTTCTGCATACACAGAGTTTGGTCCTCCAGAGATGATGATGGCTCTGCAGACAGAACATGAAGAAATCATTAACACAAACACACTGGTTACTTCCAAATCTATTTACTTTAAGCATTGGTGCTGTCTCATACCACTCTCAGGACTGATACTTTCTAACATGTAGCTTGATTTTTGCTGTCAAACCCAGCAGGTTTTCAGGGAGGGATTTCCCCAGATTAAATTAAGTCAAATATAAGCCATCATAACAAGTGTCTGTATTTTAAATTCCTCATAGCCAACCATCAGCTACAAGAGAAGTAGGGTGGCTGGGATAAATGTAGAGTATCAGCACCAATATATATATATTTTTATATATATATATACATACACACAATTTATGAAGTCTGTGACATCTGGAGGAGAACTGCAGTCAAAAAATCCACTCCCTAACTCCTGAATCTGCTGAAAAAAATGCCCCTTAATCCATTCTGGTTATGCAGAGATGGCATTAGCAACAAGTTGAGAATTACAAGTACAATACATGCGATCACGTAGGGTTTGGAGTTAATAAAAGAAAATTAAACCATCTCAAAGGGGAAGAGAGAGCTCTTGCAAACCATGCTTTACAAGACCATGAACTGCAGAAGCATCAGTTGGGCAACACTTTTGGCCTCAGCCCGGGATTGAGCAGGGCTGTACCAGACCTTGGACTCGGAACTGTTTGTTTCACAGAGAACATCAAACTTCTCCCGAGCCAGAAATGCAAAACCAAACGAGACAGAAGTTGCATAAGCAGGATTAAATGTATCCAATAATTCTCCCAGCATTAGTTCCATGCAAGTACTGACAAAAGAGAGTTTTTCTGGTTCTGAGCAGCAGGGACAGGCACTGTGCTGCCCACTCCTGCCCGTGCCACCAACAGAAACAAGGCTGCAGGACCAAGCCCAGGCACCAAGGTCACTGCAGCCCCTCCAGGCCAGGAGGGAGGAGCTGGAGGGATGGAGCTGCAAGAGGCACATTTGTTTCCCTGCCTGCTGGGATCTCCAGGCCAGCTCTGGAAGCAGCACAGCTGACGTGGGTGTAGTTTTACACTGAACCATCCTGAGAGCTCCTCCCTGCTGCTCTTGCACAGGCACTGCTGGTCAGCCTGGAGGCACGGTGCATTTCCTCAACTCAAACTCACATAAAGAGCCTGCACTCTCTCCCTCCATGGCTGCTGGTGCTACAGCTCCAAATAACTCCATGCACAGAGGCATTTGCTCCAGTGCCAGATGTACAGAACACTATTTAATATTAATCAGAACCACAGACCACGCTCCTGGAGCTCTGGCAGCCCTGGGGCCGTGCCCATTCCCTGGAGAGGTTATCCAGAGCCCAGCACCCTCTGGGGAAGAACCTTTCCCTGATACCCAACCCAAAATTCCCCTGGCTCCAGCTGTTCCTCTGGGTTCTAGGAAGGAACTGAAGGAATACAGCCACACCTGTAGATTGAACATTCTTAGGAGAAGTCAAAATAGTTATACACTATTCCAAAAAGTGGAGTGTTGAACACCTGGGTTTTTCCCATGCCAACTGAAACTTGACACAATGCAGAGAGGTTTGCAATGTGCCCAAGTATGAGTAAAAAAATAAAAAAATGAGTTGAGGGGCTGAGAGAAGGGCTCACATCTCAGCCGTGCAGGAGTCAGAGCCAGCTCAGGATGCAGACTTTGCAAGCTCTCCTGGAGCACTGTGTCATGTCCTGCACACTTGTCTGTGTTGCTAGGAATATTCCTTTCTCTGGTTTACCCTAAACCCCTCCCCAAACAACCTGACCCAGCTCTGGAAAGCTCCTCTGCACCTCAGGAAGCACATAAAAACACCCAGGGGAAAATGTGTGCATGAATGCCCCGAGGTCAGGACTCCTGCCAGAGCCCAGAGGAAATCCAGAGCTGGGATATTGTGGGAAATAAGTTCATGCCACACTTAGGTGACACTCGTCACTAGAGAGGGTTCTGAGCATTGAGGAGCCAGCTTTTTAAACACAGAAATACAATTAAACAAAACCACAACCTCATTTTCACAGTGACCACAGGGGTGGATCTGCTGGGTTTGTTGACTGACAGACACTGCACACAAACAGATTTTGTGGACACACAGAATTATTGACCAGCCTGGGTGACCTGAAACCACCACCCCAGCCTTGAGAAGTGACCTGGATGAAGAGGCTCTGGCACACTTTAAAGAGCAGCTATTTGCAGTGACAAGTCCTACAGGTCTAATCCCAGTGCTCTGAAGAACTTTCAACTGTTCTGAAGTTCTTCCCGCTGCAAACCTGCATCAGCACATAAACTCTTTACTGCTTCTATAATTGTCATGAAAGGGAAAAATGCACTTCTGCAGCACTGTCTTATCTATTGCAGAGCACAACCAAAATCCCAAGTGCACCGTGTTTCTGGATTTGTACCAAACTGACAAGTGAGTACAAATCTTTGGTGCTTTGTAGACTTCAGGGCATTTATTCTCCCCACACAGAAGAGATGTATATCCTAAAAAGCCTAACAAAACATGAAAAATTAATGTACAAAGTACTAAGTAATTGTGAGACCTTTCTTTGCTGCAGACAAGGAGTGGCAGTGTCAATTAGAGGTTTTTTAGCTGCTTCCCAGAAACATCTGGCACAATATCTTCAGTATCCAAGTTAGTTTAATTTAAAAAAAAGAAAATTAAGTAAAAAAAGAAATAAATTTAGAAACCCACAAAAAAATCAACAGATAAAACGCCAAAATCATCTACGTTTTGGCAGATATTTAAAATGCAGCCTTTTGAATTATGCTTTGTAATTTAAATCATTAAAATGACATTAAGAAACAAATGGACAAAAAGGTATCAAGAGACAAATGGACACCACAGGTCCCCAGCAGAGCTCAGGTGGAATCAGGGACAGCACTGGCATTGGAGCCACTGCCCAGGAGAAGCCACGGGCTGATGCCTGGAGAGGCTCCTGGCACAGAGTTAAAGGAATAAAGTAGGGATTTATTAAAAGGCCTTCAAAAAATCCACCTTGGGCAGTGCAGGAGCCTGGCCATGGCTCTAGGTGGGATGGCCCCAGGAGGGACACCCAGTCACGAGGTTTCACATTTTTATAGGTTTTGGTCCATTTACACATTGGGGTTAAACGTCCAATTACAGCTTCAGGTGATGGAGTCCCATCCTCCCAGTTTGCTGATGTTTACACCTTTTGGCCCAAAGCTGCATCTGGGGCTGGAAAGGATTGTTGTGTCTGACTGAGCTGTGAGGAGAACTTGCTGACACTGTGAGAAGTTCAGTTACACACCAAGGCAGTGCAGAAGCTGGGAAATAAACAGCTCAAACTCCAGGCATCACAGCGGGACCAGGGGAGGAAGGAGGCGGGAGGACGTACCGGAATCCCTGCTCGCGGATGGCGAAGGCCGGCGTCTCCAGCGGGAAGATCTCGGACTGCACGAAGAGCTCGCGCACGCGCCGGTCGATCACCTTGCCGTACTGCGCGCCCGCGTCCAGGATCACCACCGCGCCCTCGTAGTGGTGCTGCCCATCCTTGAGCTCTGCCCCGGCGTTCTCGGGCTGCCAACAGCAACCCAGGTCAGCAATCCCATGGAACCATCATCACCCAGCTCAGCAATCCCATGGAACCATCATCACCCAGGTCAGCAATCCCATGGAACCATCATCACCCAGCGCGGCAATCCCATGGAACCATCATCACCCAGCTCAGCAATCCCATGGAACCATCATCACCCAGCTCGGCAATCCCATGGAACCATCATCACCCACGACAGAAATCCCATGGAACCATCATCACCCAGCTCAGCAATCCCATGGAATCACCCATGACAGAAATCCCATGGAACCATCATCACCCAGCTCAGCAATCCCATGGAACCATCATCACCCAGCTCAGCAATCCCATGGAATCACCCATGACAGAAATCCCATGGAACCATCATCACCCAGCTTGGCAATCCCACAGAACCATCATCGCCCAGGTTGGCAATCCCACAGAACCATCATCGCCCAGGTTGGCAATCCCACAGAATCACCCATGACAGAAATCCCATGGAATCACCCAGGTCAGCAAACCCACGGAACCATCATCATCCACAACAGAAATCCCATGGAACCAACCAGGTCAGCAAGCCAACGGAATCACCCACCACAGAGATCCCACGGAGACACTCAGACTCACCACAGAGATCCCACAGAGCTGCTGAGACACGAGGCTGGAAAAGGCCTCTGCCAGCGTCCCAAGTCCAGCTGTCCAGCCAACCCCACCCCTGTGGTCACCACCAGACCGTGCCCTCCAGTGCAGCTTCTGCACATTTTGGGAGCCCTCTCAGGGATGGTGAGCCCACCACTACCCCAGGCAGCTTTACAAACCTTTCTGTCAGGAAATGTCTCTTGATACCCAGCCTGAACCTCCTCTGGCTTTACTCTGACAGCCCACTGACTGAGCCAGATCTCTTTAACAGCTAACATGTGCGAGGCTTTGCTAATTAGCTATGCTAATTTATGATAAAAATTATAAAGACCAGCCAAGAAGCTTCAAAATGAAAAGAAATCTTGAAGATTATAAGGACCAGTTGAGGCAGTGGCAAGATAAAGGCGCTGGACACCGGCACAGAACACCCACCCCAAGAAGAGACAAGATCCCCATCCCCCAAACCAAACAGGGCAGAAATTAGGGAAGAAAAATGCTAATGAGCTAATGATGGCACAGCTTTGCACAAGCAGGAGCTCGTATGCCCTGATCACCATCTGCAGCCTCTCCATCTTTTTCCAGTTCCACATGAACCCCAGCACAGCCCATGGGAATGGAGAGCCTTGGCCTTTTTCTCAGGCAAAACAGCACAAAAATCAAACAAAAAAATGGTTTTTTCCCCGTCACGCTGCCTCATATGCTGAACTTCACTTGACATTACCTCCTGGAGAGAATAAAAAGGGGAAATTGAGAACAAATGTCGCTGCTAAATGATTAGGGAAAAAAAAAAAACCAACACATTTTGAGTGCAGCATTTGAGCAGACTGCATGTCAGAACAAAGCAGTGGCTCCCTATGAGCCCCTCATGTCTGAGCTGCTTGGCCAACTTTGGCTAAATCTGAAAGAGTGCTAAAAAACACCAGGCCAAGTTTCTTCATTAAAAAAAATTGTGAGAAGAGGCAGCTATTCCATGGAAGTGTCCTTATCAGAGCATCTCCAAGGAAGAATCAGCAACCATGCTCTAACACCAAAAATTTGCTGCCTACAGAATTTACTTCTCTTAGGTTGTTCTTCCCCTGATTCTTTGCCAATGCAGCTTGGTGAAGGGCAAACTGGGAAGGGTTTCACTTTGGCAAATGATGCCTCCAAGCATCTTGGAGCTCCATTTCAGGTTTTAGTGATGGCAGGTTGGAGTTGTTCTGCTTGTCTGGACCAGGCAGCAGAACCTCCAACCCAGAGCTCGCCTCTGCTCCCATCACTGCTGCTCCAGCATTTCCACCTGGGGCAGGAATTCAGCCCAGAGCAGCCACAGGTGATTCTGGAGAGCATCATCCTGCTGGGACACAACCTCCCCACAAACACACTGGCAACTTCCAAACTTCACACCAGCTGGAAGAGGTTTTATCTTAATTAAAGGACCTAAGGGGGGGGGTTGGGTGGGAAATCGTGCCAAATCCCTCAAAAGCCTAAATCCAGGTTAAAATCAGATATTTAATTTTTGTCCTTCAGCTGGCAGCCGAGTTGCCTGGTGGGGAGCTCTTGATGACTTTTAGTGCTGGGTTACACAACCAGAAGTGCACATGTTGGAAGAGAGCAGAGTTTAGCAGCACAGACCCCTTCACACCCCAGGTGAGGCAGTCACCAGACCTGTCCTCCCCTCCAGTGCATGGGAGGGAATCACTTTTAGAGTGATTCTGGGCATTTTCACCTGGCAATTTCTAAATTAGCAGTTCTTGTGAGACAGACCAACATCCTTATTCTTTCCTGAGCCCATCCTGGAGAAAACACTATTCCTTGCAGTGCTGGTTTTTTATTTGAAGTCTTCAATTGTTTCAGAGCAGTAGGTTGTGTCATTTAGGGACAGAGCTCTGCAGCCCTGTCTCAAAGAAGACTGAACAGAAGTTACTGTTGGTGTCAGCTGGACTGACAGACAGGCAGCTATCCCTGGATTTATTAATAAATAAATCTGGCTTCCAGTGCCCTACCCCGAGATGTTTTGGGCAGGCAGGGGTGGTTAATGGGGGCTGTAGGGGAGACAGGAGCATGAAAACAGAGCCTGAAGTTACACCAGGAGTAGCTTGAGAAGCACTTTAAAGCAGAGTGAGCAGGTCTGTGTCCTGAACCTGCACCACCCTCAAACCCCAGCAGAAGCAGGACAGCAACCCAGACTCCTCTGAACTAACCAGACAAGTGGAACTGCAACGGGGTTCAGGACTAAGACAGCCCAACATAAATCACAGGCAAAAAGAGAAAAGGAAAAAAGGCAGAAAAGTCATCACAGCATCAAGTTCTACTTATTGAAAGGCACAGTTCCAAGGCTAGGGGTTTTAAACCCAAATTACCAAGGGAAACTTCATTTGATGAAATCCAAAGAGGAGCAGATGCTGTTCATGTGCAGCCAGCATGGCAGCTGAGCTCTGCACACCACGGCCGTGCCAGCAGAGATTAAAAGAGGACACCAGACAGCCCAGCTCCTGCAGGGATGGATAGGGCTTATGGAGCCAGCACCTCATCCTGCTGGGGACTGCACAGCCTCCAGTGAAAGCTCTTTGTCCCCTCAGAACAGTCAGAACTAGAGCTCCTTGTCTTCTGGTGTGCTCACACAAAAATCTGTGGAAGCTGCTCTGACACCTGTCCCAGGCTGTCCAGGTATGGGGACAGAAGCACTGTGCTGCTGTCCCCAGAGCAGGACTAAAAACAGGACTGAAACCCTGTGTACACTGAGAGAAGACAGTCTCTGTTCAGCCAATTCCAGCACCAAGTCACCCTGAGGACCACGGACCCGAGCCACGGCACCAAGGTCCTGTGTGCCACCTGAGCCGTGTGGTGACCCCAACTGTGCTGCCACACCGAGGGTCAGCCTCATTCCCCCACCTAACACTGCAGAACAAAAACCTTCCATCACTGCTGTTCTTCTGGTGTCCAAACCAAGCAATTCCGAGTGCTCTAGTGAGCTGAGGTAGGAGAACTGGAAGCAGGCTTGGGCTATCAGCCAAGGTCACCACAGATCCTGCTCCTCACATCCCTGCCTAGTGCCTGAAACTGAGTGTGCAAGTTCCTAACAGCCCACTTGTGCAGAATCAGGGGAATTTTCAGCATTTCACACGCCCACATGGTCGCAGGTTGGTCATTAGTGTAATTCATAAACCACATTTCCACACAGACCAGTCCCATTCTGGAGTACTGGGAAGCAGCAGCAGCTCCTCTGTCCGAGCTCTCAGCCCTGAGCTCTCACCCACACCAGTAACTCAGGACAGGCCTAAACCAGGAGCCTTGATCTTGCACTTTCAAGCCAGCACAGGTTTTACAAGAGTTTAACTGTTTCCCTGTGGTATTAAAATTAAGCAGGTCTAAGAACGCTCACTCAGATTTCCAAGTATAACAGGAAAGCAGCTCCCTTAAACTCAGGCCATCCTCAGCAACACAACCAGAACCCCCCAAATCATTATTCCAGGGGAGCTTTAACAGACATGGGTGTCATGCAGGTGTCCATGGGCTGCTGGGACCCTGCAGAAATTGCTGTCATTAGTGCAGGATGAGCCGGGAGCCCCACATCCAGCACTGGCTGGGAGAACTGGAGCCCCCAGAGCAGCCCCGGGTGGAAAGGGGGCTGTGACCACAGCCAGGGAAAAACCTGACAGAAAACCTACCGAGCACTCCAAAAGCCCTTCAGAGACACAGCTAGATAAAGAGCCGAGAACAAGGGAGGAGAGGAACAGCCGGGATTAGCCGGCCGGGAGAGGAGGTTGTGAACACGGCCAAGGAAAAGCGAGGCAGAAAACACACAGGGACCAAGTGAGCACTCCAAAACTGAGCACTCAAAAAAACCGAGCACCCAAAAAAACCGAGCACCCCAAAAAACTGAGCACCCCAAAAAACTGAGCACCCAAAAAAAACTGAGCACTCAAAAAAACCGAGCACCCAAAAAAACTGAGCACTCCAAAAAAACTGAGCACTCAAAAAACCGAGCACCCAAAAAAACCGAGCACTCCAAAAAAACCGAGCACTCAAAAAAAACTGAGCACCCAAAAAAATTGAGCACCCAAAAAAACTGAGCACCCAAAAAAACCGAGCACTCCAAAACTGAGCACCCAAAAAAACCGAGCACCCAAAAAAACCGAGCACCCAAAAAAACCGAGCACCCAAAAAAACCGAGCACTCCAAAAACTGAGCACCCAAAAAACCGAGCACCCAAAAAAACCGAGCCCCCCAAAAAAACTGAGCACCCAAAAAAACTGAGCACCCAAAAAAACCGAGCACTCCAAAACCGAGCCCTCCAACCCCCCCAGAGCCAGGGATTCTTTGCGAACTAGCTAAAGAAAGCACAACAAGTCTTGCAGCCCGCTGAGGCAGGCTGCAGGGCTCGCTGCGAAGTTGCATTATCGGAGCTCGGAGCTCCCGAGCC